ACTCAATTGAGCATCTTTGGAAAGGAAGGTTTCCCCTCTAACCTAGGTTAGAATGGCCAATTAGATTGCCAAGCACAAACATGCACAATCATCATGAAAAATACATCAATCGTTAAATCAAACAACTACCATAAACAATCATTCATCTCACACAACAACTACATGGAAAATAGTTAGGGTTTCACAACACCCAAGTGAAAAAGGAAACTACTCCATGCTATAAAGGGGAAGAACACAAAAGACAGAAGTAGAAACAATCATGGTGATGTCTCCACTCTCCTTGGATCTTATGTTGATCTTCTCTTGGGGAGATTCTTCCCAATTCACCACTTGGAGCAAACCCTAGTCTCCCTTCTTCTTTGGTTCATCCTTTCTCTCTCTAAAATTTGAAGAAGAAGATGCTTTCTCACACTTGGGCCCCCGTCTCAATTCCTTTCAGATCACATCATATACTGGGATCGGGCTCAGTTCACCGTCTTCAGTTCACGGTCGTGAACTCCTCAACATGTCCATGAACTCGGAGTGCTGTGTCGAAATGCATCGCTTCACTCACTTGATTTCACGGGTTCACGATCTTGGTTACCTTGAACTCACTCAGCGTGAGTAACCTCGAAAACCGCCCTGGACGCTTCGTGGTTCACGATTTATGGTTCCAGTTCACGACCTTAGGAGACCGTGAACTCCAATGGGAAACCGTGAACATGGCCTAAATCACTCTCTTTGCCCGGTCTTTGCTCCTTTTTTCCAACTTTCAACTCCGGGGCTGGTTTCACCTGTTAGACACTGAAACACGAGAAACCTAGCGTAAAACCAACCTTTTAGGAGCACAAATGCCATAAACGCCCAAGGGAAACGGGGATAAAATGTGTACAATTGGGCCCGAATCAATGCGTCTCAAACCTGAGTTTGAACCACTTCGAGCAACCCTTCTCAACCGTAAGCATCTGCAACTTGATGGCGTGCTCAAGAGTCTCATTCACAAAGAGACGTAACTCCGTATGCAAGCAAACCTGGACGCACGTCCTGGTCAAGGAGACTTCCCGGCGTTTGGTGCCATGGCTGGTCTCCAATCCTCCGATCCAGGCGCTTCTCGTGTTCGAGCACCCTCCTTGGCTGGCGGGTCTGTTACTCCCTCAGATGGGGGATTAATCTTTTTTGCAGGGTTTGGATCTACAGGTTCTGTCGGCTTTTCGGCCTCAATTTCAGCGCCAACCTAAATCTGAGGTGGAGTGTGACCATTGCAAGGAGAAGTGGCATGATCAAAAGTATTTTTGTGCTCGTAATTTTTGTGTCTACTGCAAAAGAAAGGGCCATATTATTGCGGATTGCAGGACCCTTCAACGTCACATGAATGTGGTTTTTCTCATGAGGCAACAACAGCGGTGGACACAACAGCAGCTCGGGTTCCTCCCCACGTCCTGTCTATGCAACCCAGCTGCTCCCAATGCCGATGGAGTCTTGGTCTCCCCCGCTTTGTTGGAACAGATGGTGAACAAGGCTATATCTTCCGCCTTCACCAGTCTTTAGGTCTTCGGTAAGATTCCTCCCTGGATTCTCGATTCAGGTTGCTTTAACCACATGACTAGCAATGTTTCGGCCCTTAAGCATGTCTCTCCAATTCATAATTTGTCTCTTAGAATTGCGAATGGTAATCGGTTACAAGTTTCGGGTATTGGTTCTGTTCATGGGTCAAATGTTCATTTACCCTCTACGCTACATGTTCCACGTTTAGTGCATAATCTTGTATCTGTTGGAAAACTTACTAAACATGGTTGTCGTGTTATTTTTGCACCGTCTGGTTGTGTTATTCTGGACCTGAAGACGGGGAGGGAGCTCGGGAGGGGTAGCAAACATAGCCACATTTTTTAGCTGGATGAGTCCGGTTACCACTTGCCATGGTTATAAATAATTTGCCTTATTTATTGATCAGGCGACTCGTTATATGTGGGTTTATTTTCTTCGTCTTAAATATGATCTCCTTACTATTGACACTGCATTTCTTGTTATGATCCAAACTCAGTTTAATAGGTATGTTCGTGTAGTCCGGTCAGACCCAGGTGGTGAGTTTAGCTCCACTCCTTTTCTTAATCTCTATAAATCTCTTGGTATTCTCACTCATAAGTCCTATCTTGGTGTGTCACAGCAAAATGGTTTGGTCGAACGTAGGAATCTCCATGTGGTTGAGGTCATGTGTGCAGTGTGCTCTCCATATGTCATCTCATGTTCTGTCTTCATTTTAGCCTGAAACAGTTTCCACTGTTGTTCATCTGATTAATTACCAGATTACTCCTCTCTTTGGACAAGAAAGCCCATATTTTTGTTTGTTCTCAAAACACCCTCCATACTCTCGTCTTCGTGTTTTCGGTTGTCTTTGTTTTGTCCTCCTTCCTCGGTCTCAATGTACCAAACTCACTACTAAAACTGCCCGTAGCTTTTTTGTTGGTCATAGTGATGTCTATAAAGGCTATCTTTTCTTTGATCCTATTCTCCAACGCATCTGTATCTCATGTAATGTGGTGTTTTTTGAAAATGCGACGTTTCACTCTTTCTCTCCTGTGTCGAGTCCTCCTTTGTTCAATGAGTCCTTAGGTCTTCCCTCTTTTCCGGATGATGATGATGATGAGCCCCATGAGCCACCCGTTGCTCCCTCCCCTCCGTCGTCTCCGCCAGCATCTCCTCCACCCCTACGGCGCTCTAACCGTTCCACTCTTGGCTAGCCACCACTTCGCCATCACGATTACCTTTCCTACAGTGTGGAGTCTATTCTAGTACCGACACGTTACTCACGGGCCCACGACATTCGACATTGGGATTCAGCTATGAATGAGGAATTTTGTGCTCTTGATGCTAATAAAACGTGGTCAATCATTCCTCGTGCACCTCCTCCAGTTCCTGTAATTGGCAGTAAGTGGGTATATGCCTTGAAATTTCCTCTGGATGGTAATTTGGAGCGTTTCAAAGCTCGGGTGGTTGCTCAGGGCTTCTCCCAGGAATATGGTATTGATTTTGAAGAAATCTTTACCCCAGTTGCAAAGATGCTTTCTGTTCGGTCTCTCCTGGCTTTTGCATCTATTCGTCGATGGTCGCTTTATTAGCTTGATGTAAAGAATGCCTTTTTGCATGGAGACCTTAATGAGACCGTCTATATGGAGATCCCCCCGGCTATCCTCATGCTGATCGAACTACTCAGGTGTGTCTCCTTCTCCGGTCTCTCTATGGCTTGAAGCAAGCACCCCGTGCTTGGTTTGAGAAATTCCAGTCTACTATTATTGATCTTGGTTTCATTCAGAGTCAGAATGATCTCTCTTTGTTTACCCGTTGATCCTTTCGTGGCTTGGTTGTTCTGTTATTATATGTGGATGATATAATTGTTAGTGGTGATGATGAGGAAGGAATTCGAGCTCTCACTACGGGTCTTCATGCCTCCTTTAGCCTTAAGGAATTGGGATCTCTCTCTTACTTTCTTGGGCTTGAGGTTCATCGCTCCTCCACAGGTATTCATCCCACTCAGCAGAAGTATATTGATTATCTCTTAGACATGTCTCACTACTTTGATTGTACGCCGGTTTCCATGCCTATGGAGCTCAATCTGAAGTTGAGGAAGGAATCCGGTGATCTGTTGAGTGATGGGGGTAAACACTATCATAGCATCGTCAACAGTCTGATTAATCTTACCTCGACGCGTCCTGATATTGCTTATGTTGTGCAGATAGTGAGTTAATTCATGTCTGCACCTCGTACTGTACTCATGGATGCAGTGCATCGCATCTTGAGATATTTACAGGGGACACGTGGAATTAGTCTATTTCTCCCATCGTCTGGTTCTTTTGTGCTATAGGCTTTTTCTTTTGTGCCATGGCGATGTTAGAAACAAGACAGAGAATCTAAGTCCTCTACTGAGGCTGAGTATCAAGCGATGTACGCAGTCACTTCTGAGCTCGAGTGGATACAGCGTCTCTTAGGCGATCTTGGTGTTGTTTGTGAATCGCCCATGCAGCTTTATGTGGACAATACGAGTTCTATTCGGTTGGCCATGAATCTCGTCCTTCATGATCGTACTAAGCATATTGAAGTTCGTATTCACTACATTCGAGATATGGTTCGTGATGATAAGATCCGAATTTTCCATGTTACTTAGAAGACCAGATTGTTGATCTCCAAACCAAGGCCTTTTCTGCAAGTCGTCATTTTTATCTCGCAGGCAAATTGATTTTGCGAGACCGCAATCAATTCGGGGGAGGCAGTTGAGTGATGGGCCTCGACCCATGCATATATATAGGCCTAAGTTAGGAGTGTAACCATAGATCTGATTATCATGCTAGTATTGGCTAGGGTTTATGTATATATATTCATGTACTTTGTATCATTGACGAACAAGAAGAACAAAATCCTGCCTTTGTGTCGTGGATTAGTCTCGACAATCGCAGTCGAGAATACCACGTAAATCCGGTGTCTCTCTGTTCAAATAATTTATGTTTCGATTATATTTCCGTATTCTGTTTCGATTAATAGTAAGTTGTAACTTGTAGTGTTAAAGCTACAAATAGAAATCCGATTATCAATAAAAAAAACTATGAATAGGGGTAAATGCCACGTTTGGTCACTGGGTTCACTAAACATGTCATATTTAGTTCACTGGGAAAAAAATAATATCAATGTTGGTCACTCGAATTAGTAAGACGGTCCACGTTTAGTCACTCTTCGATAACACCGTCAGGCAATTGTTTAAGTGGCTAACAGAAGTGTTGACTCACCCTTTTTTAACCCGCCACATCACCAAACCCGATCCACCACGTCACTCAACCTGCCATGTCATCTCAGGGTACAATTAGATAAGCTCACTATAAAAATAATAGCACATGTTATGCATGATGTATGAAAAGTATTAAGCATTGCTAAAATCGCCATGTTAACTACATTCTCATATTTTATGCAAAAGAAAAAAACATCTAAGAACTTCCTCATTTTATTATTTACACCATCCTTTGTATTCGTATTTTCTACACATGGAACATACCAAGGGTGCACATAATACAACACATCGAATTAAGAAGCGAGTTGGCTTCAAAACGTGATTAATTGAGTGAAAACATCATGGAATAGGAGGTGTCTTAGATAAAAAGGAGAAGAAATGTGGATGTGGGTGTCTAAACAGGGGAGGCGGAAGAGGCAGAAGAAACAAAAGAAAATTTATCTGAGAGGTTGCTTCGAGTGAGAGGAGATATGAGCTCCATTTGTTGCCTAATGAATTGCACGTCATGTACCAAAGGATTGCTTGTTCTTCTTGGTGGTGATCCAGAATAGCACCATGGTACACACCAATAACTATTACATATTGGCGTCTCTCCCTCCTTTTCCTCGTTGCATTCCGATGTTCTCTGCAATGTATATAAATGAATATTTCTCCAATGAGGATATTTTCCCGAAGAACAAAATTGACAACTCCAAATTTGTTTGAAATTAAAAATTCACGGGGTCTATTAACCTTGTTGTTGTTATCGAGAATGACGTTGAGAATACCTTCATTCCCTCCATCGTCAATTGTGTCAAAATGGCTGATAATAAGCAAAGAATGAATGAGGATAAAATATAAAAAAAAAGTGTGAGTGAGTATAAAGAGAAAACAAAAGGAATGCATGCAGAGACATTACTAAACCTGTGTTTGGTACAATAAGTGGGAGGTTTGAGGAACTCTATCGTGGGTGATGGATGGATGTGCCTAGGTTTGGGACATAGTATGTGATTCGTTTCTTGGTTGATATTGTTAGTGTTTGAAACTGAGATTGAATCACCAAGTAGGTTGCTTCTTTTCTTAACCCCATGGTGACAACGATGCATGTTAAGTATAATGTAGTATGAGTATGATCTAAAATCACAGAAAAATTTGTTTTTCCCTTTTTTCCACTATGAGCTTGATGCCAATCTTATCTGAAACAAATTAAGGCGCTAGTGTAACTATGGAGGCAAAGAGTAGTTTGATGATACAATTTTGTTTTTTTGGGTAGAATGGTATAGACTTTTTTGATAAGATGAAACTTGTTGAAGTTGCTTGTTCCTAAAATAATGATGGGAGTGAAGAGAAGCAAATAAGGTGTCGGAATGCTTTGCTTGGTTGCGAGTGAATTTAGGAGCTCAACGAGTGGAGGGGAAAGAAAGGAGGGAATTTTGTCTGTCGAGAAAGACAGAATGAAAACAGTCATCGACTTGACCCATTTGGCATTCTCCCATTTCCTTCTTATTTATCTCTACACAAATAGTGTGCTTTGGTCCACCCTCGTCCTAATCCCTTCGGTCCAATTATTTCTCATTTCTTCTCCCCGTATTGTACTTATCTCTTTACATGTATTAGCTTCTCATCTTTGCATCAACATTATATAATATTTAGAGTACTTGACATAATATATAGAGTACAAATCGCAAGTATGATAAACCAACACTTTGAAATCATAACCATCCATTGGAGGAAATGAAGGCATAAGCATCTCATGTTTCTCATGCTCAAAAGAAGAGTCACCACTCAGGGATTGGATCAAATGAGTGGGATAGGTAAGTTCATACTCTACTTGTCTTGCACTATCGTTCAATGAAATCCAACCATTCCAATAAAATAGAGCATGCAAACCAAAACTGAAATTTTGAACTTACATTATTTGTAAGAGAATGAGAGCACCATCATGAAAATATGATCACTAATTAACCCGATAGAAATGAACAGTCGATCATAATTTATTAACAAATTCAACTTTAGCTTCATATTTGTCTTCATCCCCTTCGTTATGGAACTAATATTGCATATGCAGTAGGAAGAACACAATTTGATATGTTGCTATAAACCAACTAAATCAATTGTCCCATTATGTTAAGATTAAATTTGGCTTTACGGAGCGGGAGCCGAACAACATTAATTATTTAAAAATTATATTATTGAATTATTTTAACAACTTGATTACTATAAACAAAAATCATATATTGTCAAACTATAAAGCCATTTTACTTGGAAAAAACAAAGAAAATAAATAAATGTCATAATTCTTTGTTCCGAAAATTTGACTTGAGATGTGTAGTATATGTTGGACTCAAATAGAAAAGCCTAGCAGAGCTCAAGCCCAAAAATTGACCTGCAAAAAATTTCTCCATGAACGATTATTTAGGTACAAGCTAATTCATAATTAACGCCCTTCCTCTCAATGGTACTGAATAAATTTACTAAGCATTAACAACACAATTTTCCTATAAGTACCAGACCCTAGCAGGCTAGCACGGGTCCGCTTCTTTAAACCAGAGATAGAGATGAACAATGCTCTGGAACAACTGAGAAGTATTATAAACTTAAAGTGAACCAAGGCGAATGGAGAGTAACACATGCTCAGCAGTTTCTTCACAACTAGCCCAAGTGCAGCAGATTCAGCTTTAAGTTACCAATGAGGAAAATCATGGGGGAAAAAACCCCATCCCACTTGTTACAATCAATCCAATTCTGGGTCATCGTACAATGAATGGCTTCAAAGCGATGCTCCGCTTCAATACATGTTATATACATACTCGTACTAAAATCGTACACAGTAATACAAGTATACAACATACCTCAAATGTTCCCTCATTTCCCCCCTACAGCTTACCTGGCTGGCCTTTTATACCAAATTCCGGTGCTCCAGAAGGTCGGACAAAACAGTCCTCATTTTATCAACAGAGACGGGTTTTAGCACAACCCCATTCATGCCAACTCTCCGACAGTGATCCTTGGTCGCTTTATCCGAGTTAGCAGTCAGGGCCACCGTTAGAGGCCTCTCGTGGCGCTTCGTGAGCTTTTCATGCACACGAAGAGCAACCTCATAGCCATCATACATGCATACATCTATGAATACCACATGGTGATCTTGGGAGATCAATCGCAAACACTCGTCTCCTGAACTCACAGTTGTCACATCGCATCCCAGGTGCACCAGAAGTCCTTTAGTTACCATTCTGCTAACACTGCAAGTTTACATTTTCCATTCTTATTTATGGGCACAACGAAAGACGGGTGAAATGAAGCTGGAAAACTAAAAAAAATACATAAAACAGAGTTGGAGGATGTTTCTTTGGCATCAGATACTTCGATCAGTTGAAGATTTAGTTGATGATACGTTCAAATTAAAACACATGGAAAGCTCATCCCATCTGAAAAAAAGCAGTACAAGTCGACTTTCACCTAGCTAACCAATTCTTCTGAAATAAAAATAGAAACCGAAAGCAACAACCTCAAACTTCTATGAAGAAACTCTAAATTTTCCAGACTCTTCTGAATTGTGTCCATCCAGCCTCCAATTTTCAATTACTCATATGGAGCCACATGTAACTATCAACTCAAACACAGTCTGAGCCCCACAGTATAGTCCTATATTATTTTGTGGGATGGCTGCTATGGTGCACTCGTAGAATTGTTTGTATACTAAGCCCCCAAACCTAAAATTCGCTTTCAATCATCCAATTTTAAACATTAATTGCTGGCATTAGTCTAATATTGTGTGGGATGACTTCTACGGTGCACTCACATAAATGAGTGGATACTATGCACCCAAACCTAAAATTAGCCTTCAATCATTAAATCTAAAATTTTAATTGTCAACAATCAGTAGTAGTCTAATATGATGATATAACTTAGAACTACAACTAACACATGCATTATCGAAAGCCCTACACCTCAAATTTCTAAACCCAAAAACCCTGAGCCCTAACCCTAGACCTTTAAATTACAAGTACATTATAAATGAACTTCGTGCAAATTCATTCATCCTTTTGTTTTTGTTTTTTGTTTAAATAAAGATTGACATTGTTTAGATGTGAATCATCTACACAAAATGACGATAATGAGACGGGTGCAAAATATTCACCAATAATGCGGGTGTAGTGAAGACAAACCTATATTTTGTGGTTGGCTCACGGTCTAGAACAGATATCGGTGCACAAAATAATCGAAGAATAAATCCAACCCAAGGTCTTCCCAGGATGATTCCCCACATACAGCCTTCGAATATATCAGGAAGAAACTTAATTTTATATGAGTCAACCATCATTAGTCCATTGGATCTTTAAAATATAGAAAGGGACACATGTCCTATGCAATCTATCCTCACTTTGGATTGTCTTGGAAAGCTTCTGGTGAACATAACAGTCTTTTGCAAGTATCGTCTCCTAGTAGGTGGAATAATATATATGACCTATATTAGGGTTTAGGGAGCAACGGTTCCTTGAGACTTTCCTACATGAATGACTGCAGTTAGCACGCATGATTTCTGAAAATATGATGGTCCTAACAAGCCCCAAAATTACTCCAGTCTAACAAACAGTTCCCCAAGACTTTCAGCTATGCCCTTTGCTCCTGGCATTTTTCTTTGTCTTTATATCAAATTAGGAACTAAAACTATTCAATGTTAATAATCATTGAACAAATCTTAGCTAACCCATTGCCCTATTTATTTCGATATGTACTCCCAAACACATGAAAGAAGAGATAAAAACGAGTAAAGATGTCTAGCATTTTCTACCAGAGAAGTAAAAAAGAAAATCCAGCTTATCTTTCAACAAAAGCAACAAATAGTGGAGAACAATGTAGATTTGAATCACTCTTTCATGACTCGCAAAGTACAGCATTCAAATCTTCTTCTATGCAGGACCTAATTACATTGTGAAGCTCAGTTCCGCATTAAGGCATTTGGACAAGCTCGTGTATAAATTAATTTATGATGTCCAAATATATATATATATATATATAAAAAGGCTATACAAGCTTTTATATCACTTACCCGTTGTCATCCATCACCATAACTTTGAGTCCAGGAAAGGCAGTTTGAGCATGGTTCATTGATGCATTAGTTGCAGCAGGCAGCTTAGACTCAGTACAGCACTCTGTGACCCCAAGCTTGATCATAAATATTGCAGTGCAGCCTTTACCCAAGCCCTCACTTTCAAGCCATATATGTCCATCCATAAGATTTACAAACCTGATCACAAGCATGTGAAGGGGTGAACGCATCAAGAGCATGTATGATCATTTCTAAATTCCCTATAGAATGACAATAAAGATGGCAACCAGAGTCCAATGGATGGTGCAAAATGGAAGAACGAAGTCTTGTTAAAATGCTTACTGCCAGGAAACTAAAGCAAAAACTACCTACGACTGAAAGGAGCACTCTACCTCTTACAAATTGCAAGGCCAAGTCCACTGCCAGCAGAATTTTTGGTTGCCAAAGACTGACTTTGCGCAAATTTGGTAAACAGCTTAGGATAATCTTGAGGATTTATTCCCGAGCCTGTATCTTTTACCTACACAAGATAAACAGTAGGTTAACAAAACCAGAGTCAGAAACTAGAGTAGGCTAATATCATGATCTATACAGAGGTCGAAAGTAGCCAACCTGTACACGCAAAAAGAAGTGATTATCACTAGGTACTGGAAAGAAATCAGGAGCTCTAGGATCTCTTAAAGACTCCGCCTTTGCAACAAAAGCAGTTATTGAGATACTCCCTTCTTTTGAGAACTTGACAGCGTTACCAACAACATTAAGGAGGGTTTGCATAAGGCGTTTTTCATCGCCAGTGGCATATTCAGGTAGATCTGGAGCCAAATGCAAGGTAACCACCAATTTTTTAACTGAAGCAATAGGCCTAATCAAGTTGATAACCTGTGACAGAAAACAAAAATATTACATTTAGCCCACGTGAAGCAAATCATACTACCTACCTTACATCACTCAGTCTGGAAGTCAATATGAGTAATTGAGAGAAGTATCATGTAAACTTGCCTCTCTGAAAGCAGAATGAAGATTAAAACTTCC